TTTTTTTTTTTTTTTTAATTACATTTTACATATATCTATGTGGTTTTCTTATAATTCTACCCTTCCTACTTACTTTACTTATTACAGTTTCTTTATTTTTATTTCCAATCTCCTTCCTTCTTTCTCTTTCACATTCAAGATTCTCTCTCTCCTCTATTTTTCCATTATCATACCTTACATGTCTAGATGTTCTCCTAAATAGCTTGTTATTTTCGTTCTTAATTATGAATGATCTAGGTTCTTCACACTTTTTTATAATGGTACCTTTTTCCCACACATTGTCTTTTAAATATAGAATCGAGTCATTTACTGCAAATTTGTTTTCTTTAATTCTCACATTTTTGTCATACTGACATTTTTGTATATTTTGTTGTGCTAACATTTTCGCATAAGCATCAATAGGAATTTGAGGGTAAAGTAATTTCTCATTAATAGGCAACTTTGTTCTAATCTTTCTACTCATAAGTAACTCTGAAGGTGTGTACTCAAGACCTGCAACTGGTGTACTTCTATAGTCTAATAAATAAAGATCTATATCTTTACCTGTTAATATAGATTTTTTAAGCATAGTTTTTGCAATCCCTACACTTTTCTCCGCGAACTCATTACTTTGGGCATAATTGGGACTTGTTGTTATTACTTTGAATTTCCATTCCTTAGCAAAATCTAAAAATTGCTTGCTATTGAATGGTACATTATCAGAAACACATAATTTGGGGATTCCAAAATAACTAAATACATTTTTTAAAATTTTAATTATTGAATCTGCTGATTTACTACTTAGTTTTTTGATATCTAGCCACTTCGAGTAATAATCATTTATTATTAAATATGACACGCCACCATATTCACCAATATCTACTCCTATTTTAATAAATGGTTTATCAGGAATTGAATGATTTAATAAAGGTTCTTTAAATTTTTTATTTTGATACCTGGCACATAATGAACACTTACTTATAAAACTTTCTATGTCATTTGCCATATTAGGCCAATAATAATAAGACCTGGCTCTTTTAATGGTTTTAGTCATACCTATGTGGGTTTCATGAAGTAATTCTAATATGAATGGTCTTAATTTAAAAGGTACAATTAATCTGGCATCAATATAAATCAAATTATTGTTTACTGTTATATCATTTCTAAGTTTCCAAAAATTATATAGTTTACCTTTAAATGGTAATTTAGTTTTATCATTAGGCCAATTGTTATTGTAATATAGTTTTACTTTATTCAGACAGGGATCATTTATAGTCTCCTTTTGAAATTGTAACAGTTTTTCATCGCTAAACTGTATTTTTTCTGAATTAATACTATGTACAACATCATTAATTGAAACATCATCTTTTATATTTTTAATAATATAGTCTCTACTTAGATAATCTGCAATGTGCATTTGTTTCCCTGGAAGATACTTAACTTCTAAGTCATATATAGCTAACTTCGTTTTTATTCTTTTTAGCCTATTATTCTTAATTTTATTATATTCTTTATTCATGATAGAAACAATTGGTTTATGATCAGTATGTACCGTTATCCGTCTACCATAGATGAAATTATGAAATTTTGTACAAGCATATAATATTGCATTCATTTTTTTTTCAATTTGAGCCCACTGTTTCTCAGTTTCGGTTAAGCTACGTGATGCATATGAGATTGGTTTATTGTCTTGCATTAAGCAACACCCTACACCCGATTGTGAGCTATCTGTTTGTATAACTATTTTTTTATTATCATCAAATGCAGCTAAAACTGGGGCACTCATTAATTTATCTTTAATTTTATTCAGTGATTGTGTGTGTATTTCATTCCAGTGCCATTCAACGTCTTTTTTTAATAAGTTTCTTAGCGGATTTGATTTCTGCTAGATTTGGAACAAATTTCCTAACATAATTAATAAAACCAAGTTGATTAATAAAACCTTTGAAGTTCTTTTTTAGAAGTTGGTTCTTTAAGGGATTTTATTGCCTCTGTCCTATCTGCATCAATAGACATACCCTTATTATTAAATAATAGTCCTAAAAATTTTACCTTATTCTGGCAATACTGAACTTTTTTCTGATTAAATTTAATATTGTGTTTTCTAGCACGGTCAATAACTTGCTGTAAAATTTTATCATGCTCTTCTTTATTATCTGCTGCTATAATGAAGTCATCAAAATAAATTGTTAACCCTTGAATATCACCAAAATATTTTATATTATATTTTTGAAAAACCATTGGTGCAGTTTTAATGCCAAATGGTAATTTATTAAATTTAAGAGTACCTAATGGGCTTGGAAATGAGCATAAGTTATTACATGAGTTCGTAAGTTCAATTTGCCAAAATCCATCCTTAAGATCCAGAACTGTATAAAAATTTTTATTTAATAACCTTGGAGTTATTTCATCTAACGTTGGAATGGGATAATTTTCTTCTACAATATTTTTGTTTAAATGTTGAGGGTCTAGACACAATCTTAGACTTTTGTCTGGCTTTTCAATAATAACTATGTTGTTTAACCAGTCAGTTGGCTTGTCAACATAAGACACAATACCTTTTTCTAATAATTCTTTTAACTTAATTTTTAACCTATCTACTACTGTATGTGGTACTCTCCTATAAGGTGCTGGTTGTGGTTCAGCGTTATCTTTAAGCTGTATTTCATACAATTCAGGAAACTTACCTAGTCCAGTAAAAACATCAAGATTATTTTTTATGAATAATTCCTTTTCTGAACATATCATGTCAACTCTTTTTATCAAATCATATTTTACACATGATTCTAAACCTAATATAGGAATAATATTTTTACACTTATGCAGTTGACTCGGTTTTAATATCAAAAACTCAACATTATCTATACATTCAGGACTTATCATACATTTTATTTGACATTTTCCTAGGTTCTCTATCTTATGACCTCCATACGACTCAACATTACATTTATTAGATTTTAATTGTGGTTGTGGTTTAATTTCCTTGAAATGTTCCCACGGAATAATGTTAACGTCACTTCCTGAATCTAATTTAAATGTTATATTCTTATTAATCACTCTTAATGTTTTTGTCCAACTACTATTAATCTGATGCACATTATATATTGTATCGATTTGAAACATCTCCTCCTCACCATAATGCGTTTCATGGACCTCTTTTTTCTCTTCTTTGTTTTTGTTCTTACATCCTACAGCAAAATGGTTCATTTTTTTACGTATACCACACATTTTACCAAATGCAAAACACTCTCTAGGTTTATGTTTCCTACCACACTTCTTACAGTTATACTCATTATTTTTATCACCGTCACTTTTCTTATATACTCCCTTTACATTTTTATTTTTAACATATTTATTATTATTAGTCTTAGTTAAATTCTTACCTTTATCATTAACTGTACTCTTCATTTTTACCATATGTACTTCTGTTGATGTTGCCATTTCTTGCAGTTCTTGTTTAGTTGCCTCTGTGGTTTTACATATTTCCTCCGCCTTGTCCATCGTCAGATTACTTATAGTTAGTAGCTTGTCTTTGATTTCTGGATCTTTAACGCCAAACACTATTCTGTCTCGTATCATGTTATCCTCTTCTTTGTATTCACAAGTAGCAGCTAGTGTTTTTAATTCAGTGAGAAAATCATCAAAGCTTTGGCCCTCTTGCTGTATACAACATCCAAACTTATATCTTTGAAATATTATATTCTTTCTTGGTTCACAGTATTGGTTGAATGCTTGAACTACCGTGTCAAAATTAGTTTTTTCTTTCTTTTTAAAGTTATTATAAATCTTAACTCCTTGTGGACCAATTAAATTCAATAAGATATTAATTTTTCTTAAGTCATTCTCTTCATCTTTATTAGATGCTATTAAATAAATATTCAATTGTTGATATCACTCTTTCCAGTTTTGTGCAACATTACCACTAAAGGATAATTCATGAGGTGTACGGTACTCCATTTTGTCTTTATCCGTTTCAATCGTGGTTTTGTTATATTATTCTTCTACGACTGCGCCATGTTTTATTACATATGACTCCTGGATGTATTTATTATTATTGAGAATAAACTAAAACTATTTAAATTGCACTTTTACAGTAAAACTTTTATTATTTATAACAACGTAGTGTACTTTTAAATCATGTTATTACTAATCGTATTCTAACCTCTTAAACGGTTGACCCGTCACAGCTTTTGATAACATGAGTGTTATCACAATATATGTTTGGTTTCTTAGTTTTTTAACTAATGTGCGAACTTAATTTAATATTTTTTCAATTCCACCATCTTTCAAACTGTCTATCACGGCCAATTGTAAGGTATGAGCCACACATCGCACACCTAAAAATCAAAATTAACACTAAAAAATCTCTGAGAAAATAACATTTAATCATATAAATATTATGACCATGGGTAATAAAATTAGTATATAACTAGGTCACTGCTGTATTTGGTTCTATGTTCATAGAAAATAATTAAGAATCTGTAATTATTTACTCAAATAATTTTAGCTGGGTATTTTTAATTTGTAATTCAAGGAAATAATTCTACTAGTAAAATATTGTAAAGAGTAGGTAAATAATTTTTTTAATTTTTCTAAACATAAATTTCATGCTCTTGTAAAAGAATATTTTGTGATAAATTACCTGTAAATATTGAAGTATCACTTCCAATGTTTTGAAAAGATTGAATTTCATTCAATATATTTTCAGATTGTTCATAATCGTTATCTAGGCAAATATTATTTTCTTCTGTATTTTCAGCGAGCATCATTGAGATTTGATCTTCATCAAGATCAACATAATTTTCTGTACATATTTCACTTGTGGTTTCATCGCTTCAAGAATTTTAAATTAAATACATACCTATATTTTATTAATAATAAATAAATAAGACATTTTCATTGAATTCATTTTTAGGTAGGATTAAACATTAAAAATCAAAATTATTAAAATTATTTAGGTATTAATGGGTAGTTATTTAGGACTTAGGTAAGAATTAAGTTTTTTAGATTTTAAATGGTAAAATTATTTTTAAATTATAATATGATAGGTATTAAATCTTTTAATATTTAAAAGATAAAATAAAATAATTATCTAGTATTAAGTATATTATATATGCATTCAAGTAGGGATGCTATTATTCATTTAATTGTAATAATTAGTATTAATTCAAAACACATATATTATACCTGCAAACAGAGCTGTCATCATCAATGTTCAGCTCATTTATTTCACCATTATTTTCTGATTCGTTATCTGACTGTTGTAATTCGGAAATATCTTTTTCAATCAAACTCACAGCTTTTAACATATTAGCCCCATTGTCCGATGTTATCGTATACATTTGGTCAGGTTCAATGTTGTATTTTTTTTAAAACATTTAAAATAACTTCTTTTAAATATAAACCTAAAATATAATAGGTATACATATTATTAATTATTATTATCTATTTATTTATTTTTTTAGTTAAAAATGATTTTCATTAAACCTAAATAGGTACTAGTAAAACCTAATCATTAATATTAATATTTAATTTATACCTGTATGTGATTGTGGAAGCTCAACTAAGCCAAGAGTTCTGAACTTGATATAATCATCCACAATATATTGAATATTAATTCCCAAAAATGATCGATTGAGTCGTGTCACAGCATCAAGTTTCAATGATATTAGTTTTGCTTTAGTATATGCTTCAATACGAATTTGCTTTTGAATGTCTAATGATTCTAGAATATATGATCTATATATATGTTATGATTATAGAATAGTTTATTATATTATAAGGTTTAAAAATATTAAACAAAATTAAAAATGTATACAAAGTTTAAAAATAAATATGAATATACGTGCCGGTTCAGGCGATATCAACAATATTTTATTTTATTATACCAAAACTAGACTGTTTACACCAGTAGAGTGGTAGTAGAGTACAGTAAAAACGGTGGTGGGGGTAAAAACAAGTAAAGTGTACTTTACCACAGTGGTTAACTACTCTACTATACCGATTACTATCTTTAGTACTCTACCTATACTATTCCTGAGTGTTTACATTATGCTAGAAACGGTAGAGTACTCACTCTACAGTCGTACTATACCAAATACTCTACCAATGTAAACCCGGCTTAAAGAATAGATACAAGCACAATTAAAGATAGTACTATCTATAACCATGGATAAAACATAGAGTAATTACTCTATTACTCTATGGGATAAAAGTACTGTATAAGCAGGCTGTTATCATGGATAATTCCCATTCAGGAATTCCGGCGATCGGCATTCGTATTTCGTATAATAATTAATAATCTTTAACGTAAAGTGACCGTGTCAATTCATAAATCATATTTAACCAAAATGGGTAAACCTAAACGTTTGTGTTGATTCACGCCTGAACTTCGAAATACAGTTTCCTAAAAGAAATCAACGGATCTGATTCCGAATTATTATGTGGAAAATGTAAACGAACTTTTAGTATTTTACATGGAGGTGGATATAATATTGAACGACATATTCAATCAGTTAAACATAAATCAGCAGATATAGCCGTTTCATCAAGTAAGTCAATAACGACATATTATAAAAGTAGCGCACCAAGTTCAAGAGATTGGGAAATAGCAGCTGCAGAAGGTGCTTGGGCATACCATACAGTTTCTGAAAATCAGAGCTTTCGTTCGCATGACTGCTTTTCTAAACTTACACACACTTATTTTGAACCTAAATTTCATTGTGCCAGAACAAAGTGTGAAAAAATAGTAACCAATGTTTTTGCTCCATATACAATTGATATTCTAACTAATCAGCTTAAGAACGCAAATTGCATAAGTGTTTTAACTGATGCTTCAAGCCATGGAAATATTAAGTTGTTTCCTTTGCTTGTTAGATTGTTTGACCCCCTATATGGAATTCAGATAAAAATATTAAATGTCGAGTCTCAGCCAGATGAAACTTCTGATGTTATTATAAATTATATTGTAAAAACAATAGATGATAATAATATTAGAAATAAAGTAGCTGCATTTTGTGGGGACAACACTAACTGTAATTTTGGTGGTGTTTCAAGACGTGGCACTAATAATGTGTTTCATAAATTACAAGGAAAGCTGGGAAAATAATTAATTGGAGTTGGTTGTGCTGCCCATATCATCCACAATGCTTTAAAAACCGCTGCTGACTATCTTCCTATTGATATAGAATGTATAATAGTAAAAATCTATTCTTTTTTTTACATTTACACTGTTAGAGTGGAAGAATTGAGAGATTTTTGTATGTTTGTAGAAATTGAGTGTAAAGCTATTCTTGGCTATAGTAAAACAAGGTGGCTTTCGCCTTCAGTAGAAAGAATTTTAAAACTATTTCCTGCTTTAAAATCTTACTTTTTGAGTCTAGATAAAGTACCTCTAATATTCAAAACATTTTTTAGCAATTCTTGTGCAGAACTATGGTTAAACTTTATTCGCAGTCAAGCTGCCACATGCCATCAACATGTTTTGAACATAGAAGGCCAAAACATACTTGCAGTTGAAGTATTTAATGAGATAAAACAACTTAAAAACAACTTGATGCGTAAAAAACCAAATAAATTCATTCCTTTATCTATAAGAATGCTTATTAGGCAACTAGAATATGATGGATTAGTACAAGAATCTGACATTCTAACTGTAATTGAAAGTTTTTATAGTACTTCCGAGCAATATTTAACATCTTGGACTTATCATTTTGAAGAACTAGAAATAATGGAATTTATTACCCTTAAAAAAATTCCAAATTGGTCTGAAATAGAAAAGGTTGTTAAGTTCATTTCAAATAAAGGATTTTTCAATCCCAATAATGATACTGCATTATTCGATCAATTTATGCTTACATTACAGTATGTTACACAAGAGAAAATTGATGAATGGAACTTAGAAAAAAAATACTCTGATCAACGCTGGGTTTGTATTTTCAAATATTTTAAAGAAAAAGACATACAATGTGATAAAATGATAATAATAGTAGAATATGTGTTATGTCTGGCGGGTTCCAATGCATCAACTGAACGTGTTTTCAGTCACATAACGAAAATTTGGACCAAGGAAAAAACCCACTTGAACGTGTCAACATTAAAAGTATTAGTAATAAACTTTGATTACACTTGTTTAGAATTTTATGAATTATTAAAAAAAAATAATTTGTTAATAAAAAAAAATTATATCTAAGGATAAGTATTAAAACTGTAATTGTGATTGCAAATTAAAATTTGTTCAAGTAAAAACATTTTAAAATATGTAGTATCCAATGTTTGTCTGATTTGTTTATCAATAAAAAATAATTTTAAATAAAATGAAATGTAATGTATTTGCCATTTGTATTTACATGTATTTACATTTTACGTACCTCTTTTTTTAAGTGTCCTCCTTTAGGACAAAATAATTATGGCCACACTACGTAGAATCGATATTTTTAAAAAGTATCCGGTCAAATACAGTTTAACTTTTATTCTTTAATTTTGTTCTTATGTATTTTATCACAAAATCACTTCAGGAGGAATACCAAAGGAAATAAAAAAGTATTTTTTTGCACAAAATTGATAATGTATTCCCTTGACACGTGCTGCTATTGTATTTGGTGTCAATTTCGATATTTATTAAACTGGAGTCCCCACCATGAGCAACAAACCAAGAAGCAACGCAATATCTGTGTACTATGCTTATCTGTGTTTGTCTATAAATTTGTTTTAGTAAAAATAACTCTCCCACAGTTATTTTTATAAAATTACGACGATTAATCAACATAGTTATCTTTTCTGATTCTCTGAAACATTGCCCATTAGGTGTTTCGGTAGTGTATACTGTACTGTATACGATTTACAGAGTTGTGTAATATTTTATTATAATATAACATATTCGCAACAATGGGCAAAAACAATTGTAAAAAGAGTAGAGGTTTTATGTCTAAGTTTCGTAATAAACATAGTTATTAACATTGTTAATAAATAGGTTGTAAAAGAGCTGAGTGTAGTGAGTTAGTACATTAGAAATTTAGAAACACATATACGTATAAATACGTTGTACGTCTTAGATGAGCGGGAAAACGTCTCGTTATTTTACTCGCAAAGTGTCAGATTCGTAAGTGGACGATCGACCGGATAATCAATGCCATTCTACGTAAATCCAAAACATAAATAATTATCAACATATTTACGTTTGATTTTTAAATTTAAACTTTTATCACTTATTAAAGATGATTGTTTAATAATAATTTCAATATTTAAACTGTTGTAATTTGCACTAACATAACTGTCATCCATTAATTTACGTTTTTTAAAAATCTATCCATTTTTAAATTTAAATTACAATATTTCT